GTATTCACAGCACTTAACTTTTGCCACATTTTGTTATGTTACAGCCTTATTCCAAAATGGATTAAATTCATTTTTCCTCAACATTCTACAAACAATATCTCATAATGACAACGTGAAAGAAGTTTGTTTTGAAATCTTTGCAATTTATTAAAAATAAAAAATGAAAAAAACACATGTACGTAAGTATTCACAGCCTTTGCCATGACACTCAAAATTGAGCTCTGGTGCATCCTTTTCCCACTGATCATCCTTGAGATGTATCCACAACTTGATTGAAGTCCACCTGTGGGAAATTCAGTTGACTGGACATGATTAGGAAAGGCATAAACCTGTCTAAATAATGTCCCACAGTTAACAGTGCATGTCAGAGCACAAATCAACCCAAGAAGATCAAGGAATTGTCCGTAGACCTCCGAGACAGGATTGTCTCAAGGCACAGATCTGGGGAAGGTACAGAAATAATTGTGCAGCATTGAAGGTCCCAATGAGCACAGTGGCCTGCAACATCCAGAAATGGAAGAAATTTAGAACCACCAGGAATCTTCCTAGAGTGGGCTGCCTGGCAAAATGAGCAATCGATGAGAAGGGCCTTAGCCAGGGAGGTAACCAAGCACCCGATGGTCATTCTGAAAGAGCTTCAGCATTTTTCTGTGGAAAGTGGAGAACCTTCCAGAAGAACAACCATCTCTGCAGCATTCCACCAATCAGGCCTGCATGGTAGAGTGGCCAATCGTAAGCCACTCCTCAGTAATAGGCAAATGGCAGCCTGCCTGAAGTTTGCCAAAAGGCACTTGAGGGACTCTCAGACCATGAGAAACAAAACTCTGGTCTGATAATACAAAGATTGAACTCTTTGGCCTGAATGCCAAGCGTCATGTCTGGAGGAAACCAGGCACTGCTCAGCACCTAACCAATACCATCCCTACAGTGAAGCATGGTGGTGGCAGCATCATGCTGTGGGGATGTTTTTCAGCGGCAGGAACTGGTAGACTAGTCAGGATTGAAGGAAAGATGAGACCGAACAATGCAGAAGAGCTGAAGGCCGCTATTGAAGCATCCTGGTCTTCTATAACACCTCTGCAGTGCCACAGGCTGATAGCTTCCATGCCAAAAAAACGTATATCAATAAATACCAGCGCAAACCCACATAATAAATTGCATCACCCAACCTATTAAACAAACTTAAAAAACTGTGACACAAAACCACTTTTGTGCTAATGAAATAATATATATGAATAAATAAATAAATTTCTGAATTAATAAGTCCAGTGACAAAAAATAACAGTCCCGTAACAAAATTAATTAAATTGTAATTATATTGTAATTTTCATTGGATTCTTCCGTGCCTTTGATCCCTTCACCATCCACCAGTGCAAAAACCAACATTAACCGCACTCACCAGATAATAGTGAGTCACACGCCTTTCAGGAATATTAAGGGCTCCTGGACTGGAGGCAGTAATTGCTGCAAAAGGGGCCCAAACCAAGTACTGAGTACATATGCGAGCTTATACTTTTCAGAGGTCCGATATTGTTCTATGTACTATCCTTGGTTTATTGATTGCATGTAATATTCTAATTTTCTGAGATTGTGGATTTGGGGTTTTCATGAGCTGTAAGCCATAATCATCACAATTATGACAAATCACAGCTTGAACTATCTTGCTTTGCATGTAATGAGTCTATCTCATATATTAGTTTCACCTTTTAAGTTGCATTACTGAAATAAATGAACTTTTGCACGATATTCTAATTTTTTGATTTTCACCTATATGTGTATGTTATTTGTTGCTTGGTCTTGAGAACGCCCTGTGGATGGGGCGAAACGTGTTGACGCACTTCCGGTCCGTAATCATTCTGGTTCACGTTATTTCCGGTGATTGGAACGCATGCCAAGGGGTGCGTTCCAAGCGGCCATCTTAGAGGTGGAAGGCTGTTTTCATCCTCTGCAACTCAACGTGAGATCCCTGTTTTTAAACTTTGGATTGTGGATACATTTAAGCCATTAAGGCTATTAAACAAGGCTTTCTATTTTATTCTATCATGTGAGTGGCCTGGTTTTGTCTTTACATTTAATATCAATTTGGCAGTATTACACTGTGTGGTTTCTTTTTCTTTGCACCATTGAGGAGTTTATGGAGGAGTAAGGTGGAGGCGAGCAATATACCCATTCAGGGTGGAAAAGAAGATAGGATCTTTTTGGAGGGGGTATAGGATCACTTATATCCTATAAGGCTCATTACTCACCTTTATCTGGTGAGTGCGGTTGATATTATTTATCACGTGGTGGAAGGTGGAAGCATATTTTGAATATTTTATACATTCATCTCACTGGGAATGAGGACTTTTATTTACATGGACATTTGATTTATTGTTTGTTCACCTATATATTGTATATTTGGAGGTTTTTGTTTGAGCTATTTTTTTTTGTTGTTATTTGTTGCTTGTACCCACAGTGCAGCCCAGAAACAATAGTGCGTATTTTGTTTTTTTTTGCTTTTTTTACCTAAAACACACTAACCCTGGCACTGAACTAGATTGAACCTTGATCTAGGTATATTCTTTTATTTTTTAATATTTATTTATCTTTTTTTTTTTTATCACAAACCGTTTTTGTATTTTTTTTCTCTATGCAACGGGAGAGAGAGAGATAGAGATACAATGTATCTCTCTCCTCCATTCAGAGAGAAAAAAAAACAAGGAGGGCGGGCTGTACAGTGACTGATCACTGTGATAGCCAATCAGAGGACCTGGGACTCTCAGTAACACCACGGTCTTTGTGCTGGGAGCGCGCTGTGTAACGTACTCCCAGCACAAAGACAGGTACGCAAATATGCGGCCCCCACGGAAAAAAGCCCAGTTCTGTGAGGCTGCATATTTGTGTTACGTCGGTGTGAAGGGGTTAGAGAACGGTTCACTGAATGTAAACTTGTTCTTAAACTCGCAAATAACTGAATGCACTGTGATACACAAATTGCTTGGGATAAGTATTGCATTTATGTTTGCCAAGCGAAGTAGATCAATGTATTAGCTGAAGGGAATGACATACGCTGGTATTTAGGTAATGTTAAAGTGTTACTAAACCCAGGACCCTGCATTCACTATATCTGGTCTCCCACAATACACAGAACACGAAAATGCAATTATTTTAGTAAATATACACTGCTAAATACCTTTTTCTCATCAGCAGTTAGAGCAGTCTTGTGACTTCTATCAGTGTCCAGCAGAGCACTGGTTAAAGCTTGTAGGAGGAGTTTTCATTCTGCTCTAGGAAGATGCAGTACCCCTGACCTCTGCCTGGACAGTGCAGATTGGCCCTGTGCTGATCACATGCACTCTCCCAAGACAAAAAAACCTTCCTATCAATACACACCAAAGTGAGCATATGCAGTGTGACAGCACATGATATGTCTTATCAGGAGATAAGAGGGGGACACTGGAAGAAGGGGAGAATCAGAGAAGCCAGAATCAAACAGCGTTTTTATACAGTGCAGAGCCCCTTAGGTTCCACAATGAGTATAACAAGCATGCTTTATTGCATATACAGACTGAGTTTACTGTTTTGGGTTTAGTATTATTATTATTATACAGTATTTATATAGCGCCAAAGGGTTTGCTCAGCGCTGTACAATAGCAAGGGGGACAGAACATGAGACAAGACAGAAACAATACAATACACGAGGGGTTCGAGGGCCCTGCTCTTTCGAGCTTACAATCTAGGAGGGAGGGGAAAGTGGTACAGGAGGAAATGGCTGTGGGGAATGAAGTGGTGGGAGGAGTGGAGGAGGTCAGCTGTTAGGTGAGGGTGGGGTAGGCTTCCCTGAAGAGGTGGGTCTTCAGGGTGCGCCTGAAGGTGATGAGGGTAGGTGACAGTCTGATGGATTGGGGTAGGGAATTCCAGTGGAGGGGGTAAGTCCTGGAGAAATCCTGCAATCGGGCGTGGGAGGAGGAGATCAGGGAGCTAGAGAGTAGGAGGTCCTGTGAGGAGCGAAGGGCACGGGTAGGGTAGTATTTGGGTATCAGGTCGGTTATGTAGTTTGGGGCGGTGTTGTGAATGGCTTTGTAAGTCAGAGAAAGCAGTTTGAATTTGATGTGCTGGGCAATCTGGAGCCAGTGAAGGGATTGGCAGGGGGGTGGGGGGTGGTGGAGCGATTGGTGAGGTGGATGAGTCTCGCCGCTGAGTTTAGGATCGACTGGAGTGGGGATAGCGTTCGTTTGGGTAGGCCAGTGAGAAGGGAGTTGCAATAGTCCAGGCGTGAGATGATAAGGGAGTGTACGAGTTGTTTAGTAGTGTCTGGGGTGAGGAATGAATGTTTCTTGGAGATGTTGCGGAGGTGGGGCCTGCATGATCTTGATAGCAATTAGTAACACTTTAAATGTAATCGAACCATACAATGGGTCTCATTTTTGAGTGAATAAATGTTTTGGAGGTTGCTTTATTGTCCAATTAATTAATTTGGACAATGAAAATATGATTGGATGCTGTGAGGGGCATTTCAGACTGAATGCCCCTCTCAGACACTTTTAAAGATTACTACCAATGTAACTGTGACGTTTTATTGTGTACTTACATACATTCTTTAGCATGTGGAATGCAGTGTTTTGTATAAAGCATAATCCCATAATGTTCCTACTGTGAGGATGAAATAGGCTTTATTGTACAGCGTTGGTTCCCTGTCTGTTAGGTCAGTATTAGTGTATGCCCAATTAATGATTCTGTATTCTGATTTACCAATAAAAACAACACAAAAAAGGAATAATAATATTTTCAGAAATATGGGTACATTGTATTTGTGAGAGTTCTAATCTTACAGTTCCAGATTCAGTAAATATAAAGGTTTAGCTTTGTAAATGTAAGCAACAATGAAAAGTAGTATTATATTTTATATATTAAAGTGTATTTGCACACTTTCTAGATACTGTTTGTAGTCTAGTTAATGAGACGTTTTGCTTATAAAGCATGCATCCTAGAGCAGTTTTAAACTTTATTTCTATTCAAAGGGATCTGGAAGCAAGAGCACAAAAAGAGTTTTTCCGGGCCTTGTTCAAACTGCCAAGAAAAGAGAAGCTATACGATGTTGTGGAGTGTTCACTGTGGACTCCCTTTAGCCGATGCCATACACTAGGCAGGATATATGCTTCTGACAGCTACCTCTGCTTCGCCAGCAAAGAAGATGGATTATGTAATGTTATTATTCCTTTGAAGGAGGTACGTGTTGGGTTTGAGGGCCTTTTTTTTCATTCTGAGTTTTTTGTGTAAAAACTTGTATATAAGCACACCCCTGCTGTCTTGGTTTCAGTTCCTGTTTGAAGACACTGCACATTGTTAATGAAACCTCCAGCAGATATGAAGTGTAACATAGGAGATGTTGAAGGGACCATTTATCTGGCATATTCCTTTTTGTTCATTAGAAAATAGGGCAGTGAGACCTATTTGTTTTGCTAAGCTCCCTGTATTAGCATCAGTTAGGAATTGTTTACATATGTGGCTGTCATTGCAGCCCCCCTGAAAAGTAATTCAAGGTGAATCACCTTTCCGCAGCATTTGATAGGCAGCTCAGAAGCAATATCACTTCTCCACCACCTCTGCTAGCCTGCAGCACCATGCTGCAGCCACAAACATTACACACGGTTGCAGAGTGGTTCCAGCTTGTCCCCATTCATTTGAATAGGTAGAGTTTGGCCATAGTACTGTCTGCCTGACGCAACCTGTGGTACAAGTTTTGCCGCACTGTGGCAGTGGTGCTACATGGCCTCTGGCTGTGTTAACTTTCAGCTCAGTGGTTGGGGGCACTAAAATGCGAACCAGACCACCTGTTTGTTCTTACTATATAGGGTTTATTAGACTCCCTTAAAAATCTATTCAAATGTATGGAGAGACTCCCTGCTATATTCTAGGTATATGTCAGGACAGGGGATCTTTTTCACATGTTCTGGAGATGCCCTAGGTTGGTCCAATATTTCCAAGGCATGCTTTAATTGTGAATTTTACCTTCACTTTTCTCCCAAAGATGGATATTCTTGAAATATTATAACGTCCCTCAACCCAGCTTTAGCTAAACAAGGTCAATTCCACTCTGCACTTTAAAAGGGGTAGCTCCAAATATTTCCAAAAACATGGTGGTATTGATTTTTACAGCCCCACTCTTGCACACACCTCGTTTATAGTCCTAAGAATAGCTAGGTAAACTTCACCCCTTAATATCCACTGTTTGATACTACTGTTATGCATGAGAACTCAGACCTCTATTTCTTTACTATATTAAACACGTTTGTTTATTAAGCATGTCTCACAGTTTTAAATACTGAACACCTCAGATATTTTGCTGACTATGACATGACTGTGTTGTGAGGGTTGATAGACAGCTTTCAAACACTGCGTTTGTAACAACATGCTTAATTTTAAATTTACCGAGCTTTTTAAGCCACTCTGTTTTCTTCTGTCTTTATTTTGTTCTGTAACTGTTGATCTATCTTGTTTCTATGAAACAAAGTTTTTTTTTTTTTTTTTGAGTGAAAATAAAAACATGTAAGTTGAAACCTACTTGTTGCCCTATGGAACTGTATTGAAATACTCTGATACTATTGTGATGTATTGTTTGCTCCAATCCCTGCCCATTCCAGCCTTGTGCAGGTCTGCAATCGTGTCCCTGACTTCCTTTGACAGCTCTTTGGCCATTTACCCATGGTGGTGAGCTTTGAATGGAAGAAAGAGATTCTGTGGACAGGTGTCTTTTATACACATAACGAGTTGTCCTTAGGAGTGCCTTCTTAAACTGATAGGACTAATCTGTGTACCACGTGAGCACACAGCCAGTTTGTGGGAGCCAGAATTATTGTTGGTTGGTAGGGGATCAAATACTTATTTTACTCACTGAACTGCAACTCAATTTATAACATTTGTATCGTGTTTTCTGGATTGTTGGTTGATATTCTGTCTCTATCATTTAAAATACACCAACAGTGCATCCAGAAAGTATTCACAACTCTTAACTTTTGGCACATTTTGTCATGTTACAGCCTTATTTTAAAATGGATTAAATTAATTTTTTCCCTCAACATTCTATAAACAATACCCCATAATGACAACGTGAAAGAAGTTCGTTTTGAAATCCTTGCAATTTATTAAAAATAAATAACGAAAAAAAACACATGTACATAAGTATTTACAGCCTTTGCTCAATACTTTGTTGAAGGACATTTAGCACCAATTACAGCCTCAAGTTGTTTTTGAGTATGATGCTACAAGCTTGGCACACCTATTTTTGGGCAATTTCTCCTATTCTTCTTTGCAGTACCTAAGCTCCATCAGGTTTGATGGGGAGTGTCATTGCACAGCCATTTTCAGATCTCTCCAGAGATGTTCAATCGAATTCAAGTCTGAACTCTGGCTGGGCCACTCCAGGACATTCACAGAGTTGGCCCATAGCCACTCCTTTATTATGTGGGATGTGTACTTAGGGTCGTTGCCCTGTTGAAAGATGAACCGTCGCACTAGTTTAAGGTCCAGAGCGCTCTGGAACAGGTTTTCATCAAGGATGTCTGTACATTGCTGCATTAATCTTTCCTTAGATCCTGACTAGTCTCCCAGTTTCTGCAGCTGAAAAGCATCCCCAGAGCATGATGCTGCCACCACCATGCTTCACTGTAGGGAAGGTATTAGCCAGGTGGTGAGCGGTGCCTGGTTTCCTCCAGACAAGACGCTTGGCATTCAGGCCAGAGAATTCAATCTTTTTTTTCAGCAGACCAGAAAGTTTTGTTTCTCATGGTTTGAAAGTCCCTCAGGTGCCTTTTGGCAAACTCCAGGCGGGCTGCCATTTGCCTTTTACTGAGGAGTGGCTTCCATCTGGACACTCTGCCATACAGGCCTGATTGGTGGAGTGTTGTAGAGATGGTTGTTCTTCTGGAAGGTTCTCCTCTCTCCACAGAGAAATGCTGGATTTCTTTCAGAATGACCATCGGGTGCTTGGTTACCTCCCTGGCTAATGCCCTTCTCCATCGATTGCTCATTTTGGCCGGGCGGCCTGCTCTAGGAAGATTCCTGGTGGTTTCAAACTTCTTCCATTTATAGATGATGAAGGCCACTGTGCTCATTGGGACCTTCAGTGCTGCAGAAATGTCTCTGTACCCCTCCCCAGATCTGTGCCTTGATACAATCCTGTTTCGGAGGTCTACGGACAATTTCTTGGACTTCATGGCTTGGTTTGTGCTCTGACATGCACTGTTAACTGTGGGACCTTATATAGACAGGTTTATGCCATTCTTAATCATGTCCAATCAACTGAATTTCCCACAGGTGGACTCCAGTCAAGTTGTGGAAACATATCAAGGATGATCAGTGGGAACATGATGCACCAGAGCTCAATTTTGAGTGTCATGGCAAAGGCTGTGAATACTTATGTACATGTGTTTTTCTTTCGTTTTTTTATTTTGAATAAATTGCAAAGAATTCAAAATTAACTTCTTTCACGTTGTCATTATGGGGTATTGTTTGTAGGATGTTGAGGAAAAAAATAAATTTTATCCATTTTGGAATAAGGCTGTAATATAACAAAATGTGGCAAAAGTTAGGTGATGTGAATTACTTTCTGGATGCACTGTATAATAAAAATTATAGACCCTTCATTTCTATGTAACTGGGCAAAGTTACAAAATCGGAAGGGGATCAAATAATTATTGTCCCCAGTATATTGGAACATTTTTAGACCACACATGTGTGATCTGGATAAAATCCTGACCTGAACCTGATATAAACCTAACCTGAACAGCTGGCCAACTACTGTGTCAATTAGCTGTGAAACCCGAGCTTCAATCTGCACCGCACATGTGGGAATCAGCTCTTAGTGAATCTTCTTGGTGCATATGGTTTAATTGACCAGAAAATATGTACATGCTGTGATGTTTGTGACATTCACTGCAGATGAAACTTCCTGGTGGAGTTGTTTTAATATACAGTGAATGATTCACCACCAGTGAATGTTTAATAAATATTATGGTCACTAATTTATATATTTGCCCATTAGTATTTGCATATCTGAGTGCATGTGTGTATGTATATATGTATGTGTGTATATATATATATATATATATCACAAAAGATTTTGCTTATGATTTCCTAAAGAAGATCTGCTACCTATCCTGCTACATTACTTCCTATATTATCTGAATACCGTTTACCTATTTCAGGTAGTGAGTGTGGAGAAGATGGAGGACACCAGCCTTCTGCCTAATCCCATTATTATCAGCATAAGGCAGCAGATGGCTTTCCAGTTTATCGAGCTGAAAGACCGAGAGAGTCTGGTTAATAGTTTACTCCTCAGGCTTGAACAGGTCAACTCCAACACAGTGTCCACGAAAAAACAGAGATATGGTACAGTTTATTCATAGATTTGTGTATGCTACTGCATAAAAAAAAGTTTCACAAATTTCAGTCTTGTTTTCCAGCCACTCTTAAGTATACAGAAGAACAATTCTTGAGGCTAATGCTAGCAGCTTTTGGTATTTTAGTCAATATAACCAAGGATCATTGTGTATTTCTTCAGAAACCATGAATATTGATGTGTTCTGTGTATGAATTACTGTAGGGGCTACTGCAGCTCCAGACCCCTGCCTTAATCTAGGCCCAGCCATCCAAAATGAACAGGCTGCACACAGAAAGCAATGGGCTGACGGGGAGAGATCTCCACTGACCCTGGGGACCGCTAATAAGGGGTAACTATCTGTCCCCCTGTATGTAGGATGATTGGTACACCAGCAATTATAGGAACAACGTCCTGTGCGGCTCTATGCATCAGCTTAAAGACGTTTTCCCCCTCCCTCTCCCACCCTTCAGCTTTCAGCTGGAGAGAGGAGACAAACAGGGCGTCCTTCCTGTAGTGGACCCCCCCCCCCCCCCAGAACTGATCCCCTGTCCTATCCACATCTAAATCTTCTGCAGGCTGCTGTGTTGTTAAGTGCGCGTTGACACGGGTTCTATGAATAAGCATTTTGTGCGACTGGAGCCTCCTATCACACTATAAGGATGCAGCGGCTATATAAACCCAGCCGCAGGTCCTAATTTGCTAAGTGTGCAGTTGTGGGTGAGTAGCCCTGAAAATACACGGGGGGAGATTTACTAAAAGTGGTGCACTCACAATTTGGTGCATCTGTGCATGGTAGCCAATCCGCTTCTAACTTCAGTTTGTTCAATTAAGTTTTGACAAAAAACCTGGAAGCTGATTGGTTTCTCTGCAGAGCTGCACCAGATTTTGCACCCTGCAGTTTTAGTAAATAACCCACACTGTTTGTGTTTGGGGCCATGCACCTGCACCCACAGGCCTGTCAAATTAGGACTTTTGGCTGTGTTTGTACAGCTGCTGCATCTCCATAGGGTAACAGGCTGTCTGCACACAAGAATAGCCACATTAAAAAAAGGAAAACCCTGACCCACACTGTATAGACCACAGCATCTTTTTGATATTTTCAGCTGACCTTTCAGGCAGGCTGTATGGAGCCCCTTGATTTCTAACAGTAGGCCTGCACTAACCGGCTCTGCATTCCGCACGCACTGCCTGGACCAGGTGGCTGAATTTATGCTGGGTGGGCAGTCTTAACAGAAGCTTAGTACTTGTCTTCAGTAGTGTTGTGTTAGGTCTGCGTGGCTGCGCCCTTGGGACACACGCTAACGCATGGCCCTTACAGAAACCTGGCAAATCAAATACCAGGCATCCGTAGTGTTACGCCTGCACAGCTCAACCTCAGGGTGCATACCGACGCATGGCCTTTAAGGTCCACCAAAATCTTCAGCACCAGGCCCAAGATGCTTATAATTTGGCCTGAAGTGTAACCATATGCCCCTCTTTTCAGTAAAATATATTTGGGTGCCCAGTCAGCAGTATATGGGAATCTGAGTTGTTTATGGCTGTTTTGTGTTGCTTTTAAAGAATAAGTTCACCTTTTGTAACATGTTATATACATATTACATGTTACACCCATGTTCAGGGTGTAACATGTTACGATCGGGCCGACCCCCACATCCCATCCTGATGTGACAGCTAGCAGGGGATCTTCTTCTCATCGCTAGCTCTCCCAATAAAAATGGGAATGGGAAAAATATACAAGTTCTGACAGCCTTTGCAGCTGTTGGCTTGTAGTTTTCAATGAACTACCACGGCGTTCCACAGCACCGTGGTAGTTCATTGAGCCTTACTGTCAGTAAGTATCTGCTTGCCCGTATGGGATGTACAAGCAAGCAGATATACTGACAGGTCAGGGGGAGATCTGCATGGCAATCCAAAAGTTTGCAAAAGTTTGTTTCTTTAGGGACTGATGTGCATGAGCAGAAGAACACTGTAGAAAATCTGTGGACTCTGTATAAACTAGAAAGATAAATAGATTGATATTAATTAGAAATATGGCTTTGGTATATCTATAATCCTCTAGTTATATTAAAATGTATAATGAGATGATTAGAAAATATACGGTATGTGCTTGCACTTGATTTTCATTCCTTCTGTTTGCTCTGTAACAAGAGTATACACACATTTCTAGGCCATTGAGCACAGTTTATTAGTTGGGCTGCCTATTCTTTGTCTGCACGTTAGCATTTGCTGTTTCCATGAACACCATGTGACCCACATTGTATGGGCTTTTATTATTTGTTTTTCTTTTCTTAGCCCTTTTTTTTAACATTTTTGTGCATGTGAAAGCCTGAATGTGGAAGCAGCTAAAGTATAAGCATTATGACATGATAATGTAATATTGGAAGAGGAACATTTACAGGCTGAAAAAAACACCAAAGGAGCATTCTGGAGATAAGCTGAAGAGCAGAAAAAATGATGAATGTGCCCAAATGCAGCTAAACGTGCCTAAATGCTAGACGCGTCTAGCGTTTGGCTGTTAATGCATCCCAGTTGCCAGAGTAAATTAATATTCTGGCCAGTTGAATCCATTAATGCTCAAACGCTTGACGTGCCTAAACCCATGTGCAATATGCAACTTTAGGCGTGTTTTTATGTAGCTTTTCTCCTGCTAGGAGAAAGGTGTTCAGAGGGGGTAAACAGACACCCTGTGTACATGAAGACTTAGAATTTCCCCGCTAACATATTTTGTAAAATCAAACGTGTTTTTCTAACCAGGTTTTCAGTACGGAAGGCTTTGGAAATATGAACATTATGGTAAACCAAAACATGGAAAGTGGAAATGAGAAGGAGAAGTCGTCAACAAATGGAGAAGCTTTTATGACTACTTTTCATCAGACAGGAACTGAGAGCCCGAACACTGAACTGGTACTGTACTACTTCACAGTATATGCCTTTGTGATGAAAGTAGGAACTGGTCTGTAGAAGCGTTATGATTGTCTAGATATATTGATTTTGTCCTTCCATGTACTACGTATTGTAGATGGTAGATACATGAAACAATAGGAAATTATAGTGTTTAGGAAAACCAACAGTTATTTGTATTTGATATTTGATATCAATGAGTTGTTTCCAAGAAGTACTTTGTACAATGTAATCTATTGTTTATATGTGTTTGCCATTGTGTCACAATTTTACACATTTAAACATTCCTTTTAGTGTGTTCCCAAAGTTGCTTCGGGGACACAAAAATTAATAATATTAATGGTTTAGTTCTGGAGTCATTTGGTACCTAAATCTGAAGTTTAGTGATTTTTTTTTTTTAAACCGCACCAGGAATACTTACCATGAATGAACTGTCTTTCATGTTCTGGTGACTGCTGTGTTAAGTTGAAATCCAAAGTCCTTTACCCCTGGATACTCCCATTGTTCCTGTGTCCAGGCACTCAAGTGCCAACTATGCCCACAATGAAAAGCGGTCTATGAATGGAGCAGGTGGACCTTTCGTTCATCCGCCTATCCTCCATACATAGAGCAATTTAAAAAAAAAAATTCCATATACTTCAGCATTCGTAATGAATGTATTAAAACTTGCATTTTTTTTAATTCATACTGACGTATTGGGGTTATTTACTAAAACTGGAGAGCGCAAAATCTGGTGCAGCTCTGCATAGTAACCAGTTAGCTTCCAGGGTTTTTTTGTCAATGCTTAACTGAACAAGCTGAAGTTAGAAGCTGATTGGTTACCATGCACAGCTTCACCAGATTTTGCACTCTCTAGTTTTAGTAAATCCACCCCATTGTGTATATTAACATATAGTTCCATCACAGTCTTAAATAAGGTCTTTCATTAATAAATCAGTACTTGTCACAGTCTCTGGTTCAGCAAATGTGATCCCACAAGGCCAGCGCTTTATTTGCGTCCATTAAAATGTATGTCTGAACTAAAAGAAAAAACATATGCAATAAAAAAACAATATGTGGTAATCCTGCTAGTAATCCAATAAACTTCTAACTTCCTATAGTAATCTGACAAACTCTGCCTCTGCTGTATTGAAATCCCAAATAATGCTATCACCCAGTACCCCCTCTTCTTTGGACTACAAAATACCGCCCCTTACTCATCTCTGTTACATAAGGAGGAGGTGCTCTATAGTCTAGCAGGAAAGATCTAAGGAAGGCTGATAACTGCTTAAGATTTCAGAGTAGCAGAGTGCACAGGAAGTTAGGAGTATACTGGATTTCTGGCAGGACCTACAGATATTTTTTCTGTACTTGCAGCATTTTTAAAGGGATAGAACATGGAAAAATGTGTATATATTGCAAAGATATACTGAAAAGGTTTTTTTTTTTTTTTGTAAATTATTTTGCTCCTGCATACATTTTAAGACACTCTGCTAGAAGGGGATCCTAAGAGAAACCCAGAGAGGCACCACTGAGCGAGAGGCATGGAAAGAAAGGAACACATTTCAATTTCTTCTGTTTTTGTGAATCCAGTTCCAATTTGCTGACTACCAAATGGCAGTACACATTTATTTTCAGAATGCCTTTATGGAAAAAGCCACTCCTTCACTATACACACTTTTAGATTGATAGTTCTCTATAGAATTGTTGACAGTAAAAGGTTAACAAATTGTTTGCTTTTATGTCTAATTGACAGAAGTGTTTACAGCATATAGATTTTCTTTGCTTTAGAATGCTTTCATTACCTATATGGTACATTGTTAATTTTAACAACAGCCCAAATCTTTGTGGCAACAGATACAGATCGCAGGTTTGTGGCTGCACGTGAAGCAAATGATTGGTTTCCAACATTCTAAATCACTGATATTCAAAGCTGGATATATATTTCCTGGCATAGCTGATGTTTGGTGGGAGTTGTGTGTTGTCTGTGGGTCAGGAATGTTTTACTGTGCACAATGCACATCATCCTACACTCGCTGAAACAAAAGCTTAGGCTGTGTACTTTAGTAAATACATTTCATTATTGTTTTTCCATTTGTCAGTTGGTCAATTACATCCGCCTTGGCTTAATTTTATTTTAGCAAAGCACGGACGTATGCTTGATATTCCAGCCATCTACTAACTTGGAGTTGTCTTCCTTCCTGCCTGTTTGATATAGTATAAGGCAAGATCCCCAGTGTCCAGTCTTTCCAATGTAATCACTCTGTACCATACAAAAATGACAGTGCTTTATTTGAATGTTGCCTAATCTAAATCAGGGTCTTTAGCGGGGCCAGACTGTGACCAGTGGGAACAGAAAATGCCCCAGCATCAGTGGGAGTAAACAGTGTCTCAGGGAATATAAACGTTACATAGTGCCTGTGGTTATTAGGAGAAGGAAAAGTGCCCCAACAATGGTATTAGTGAGATAAAAAGTACTCCATCATTGTTGTCAGTGTCAAGAATAGTGCCCCATCATTTGTGTCCATGGGAAGAATAGTGCCCCATCAAAGGTGTCAGTGAGAGGAATAGTGACCCATCATTGGTGTTGGTGGGAGGAAATATTGCCCCCTCTTTGGTGTCCGTGGGCGTAATTATTATTATACAGGATTTATATCGCGACAACAGTTTGTGCAGCACTTTACAATATAAAGGGGGACAGTACAGATACAATGCAATAAAAAACAAGAGGATTAAGAGGGCCCTGTTTATAATCAGTTTACAATCCAATAGGATGGAGCAAGTGGTACAAAAGGTTATTCTTTGGAGGATGAGGTGTATTTATTAGTGCCCCATTGTTGGTGTCCTTGGGCAGAATAGTGCCCCATCATTGGTGTCCATGGGGGGAATAGTGCCCCACTGTTGGTGTCCTTGGGCAGAATAGTGCCCCATCGTTGGTGTCCGTGGGAGGAATAGTGCCCCGCTGCTGGTGTCCTTGGGCAGAATAGTGCCCCATCGTTGGTGTACATGGGAGGAATAGTGCCCCATCCTTGGCATCAGTGGGAGGAATAATGCCCCATTCTTTGTGTCAGTGGGAGGAATAATGCCTCAAGGGCTGAATAAAGCCAAGCAATGGGATGCATCTGGCACACAGTTTGGAGACCACTGCTCTAAATGGACAGACTTGATCTACCTAGACAAGGCAAGACTAGGGAAATTAAGAGATTTGGAAGCCCATGGAGGATGTTACAAAGTGTTCTAAAGACACAAACAACGTCATGAAAAAATAGATTACAGGGCCGTTAAGTAGATGATGTGTAAGGATCATTTTTGGAGAATAAGGCAAATTTTTTAGCATCACTTTAAGGCAAAACCAAAATTGACATACTGTATGATGCAGTCTGCCAGTAGCACTAACAAATCAGTCTTTTTCTAAACCCCCCTCCCTTCTCCCCTGTAAATTAGTTTTTACTTGTTTAATTATCTGGTATTTTTCCACTTCCTTTAACAGACCATGCTGTCCAGCAAAAGCAGAAGTTAAGAGTATCGAGGAAAACCATTTAACACTGGCAAGGGGGTGCTTACAATGGTCACCTTTTATTCATTTAGTTAAAACCTTTATCCCAAAAGGAAAGCTACAGTTGCTGTAACTGTTTAAAAAGTCTATCTAACACCAGTCCAGATAGTGCTGCTGTCCAAGTCAATTGCTCCTCTATCAATAGAGGAGCCACTCTAAGACAGAAATTGAGTTACTGGCCAGCTCACCATGTGAAAACAAATAAAAAAAAATAAAACTAAAAAAACAGAGGAATGCAGCCATGGCATCAAATGATATACAATCTTCAATATATCAATTATCAAATATCAATATATTATCTACTACAAGTAGAGGGTAGGTAATCTCCTAAAGTGGTTCTAAAGGCAAAGCATGTTTTACCTTAATGCATTCCCTGCATTAAAGTAAAGAATGCCCTATTAGTAGCATGCACCCCCCCCAAATAGTTTCCTCAGTCCTTTGTGAATCCAGCACTGTGCCCATTTGCAGTGGCTCTATCCACTCTGCCATAGGCAGCAGTTAGAGCCAACAGCTCCTGCTGCTATTAATACAATTCAGTGAGCAGAGAGCAGGGGTGGGGCCGAGCTGCACTATGTGTGTTAATAGACACACACAGCCTGGCTCAGGAGCGAGCCTGCAGATGTGCAACCATAGGAAGCGGCTTACGATGTTGGTGCACCAAGAAGAGAAGGAGACAAGGCAGGGGACCCTAGAAGAGGAGGGTTAGGGTCATTCTATGCAATACCATTTCACAGAGAAGATAAATATAACATGTTTGTTGTTTTAAAAATAAGTAAATAAAGCTTTGCAACTGCTTTAACTGTTGAGATATTAGACACAACCTGACTTGTATTTTGAGAAAGAGCAGTTAAGCTTAATCATTGTGTAGCACTGCAGACAGGAAGCTGAGCTTGTATGTCTCTATGCATACACTATATAATTATACACACTTTGTACATAGAGAAAGGGTTTCTAAAGCAACATGTTGATAAGATTATTTATATCCTGATCTTGCAAAATTGCAAAGACTATACATCCTTCTCCATTAAATTTCTTTTCCATGACCAAAATAAGCTGTTCTAGGGTCATGTATAGAACATAGTTGGATATGTGGAATTTTAACTTCGAATAATGGATGCTGCACTTAATGATCATCTAATATAATAATGGCTACATATGGCGCCATATTTACAGAGCTAATTTAATCACGAAGATTGATGTATTCTGCTTTATTTTTCCTTCCAGACTCGGGAACAGATAAAAGAGCGTTTGTGGAAGGATCATTTTGCTGAGTATGGGAGAACTGTTTGTATGTTCCGTACAGAAAAGATCCGAAAGCTTGTTGCTATGGGAATACCCGAATCCTTGCGAGGGGAACTATGGCTCATCTTCTCTGGTAACTCACATAGCACCTAAGTCATAAAAAGTAGTGTGAGTTATTTGATCGCTGCTTGTAAAACTGTACAAATAAGTGAACTACATATGCTGACAAAATGTAATCTTCCCAGTATGTTCCAAAAATAACAAAACACCAGAATACATAACATTAGAGGACGTCATGAGCATAATGGTAATTTTATACATGTAGTCTTTTTTTTTTCCTTTTCTACCAGATGCAGTAACAGACTTTGCCACTCACCCAGGGTACTACAACAAACTGGTGGAGGAATCAATGGGCAGGTGCTGCATTGTGACTGATGAGATAGAACGTGATCTCCACCGTTCGCTACCGGAGCATCCAGCCTTCCAGAATGAAACTGGCATTGCTGCTCTCAGGAGAGTACTCACTGCGTATGCCTACAGGAACCCCAAAATAGGATACTGTCAGGTGATACATTGCATTAGTGAATAATTCCTAAAGCCAAAATATATTATAACCACTTTCCCCAGTATAATCAAATAGTCCTTGTAAACCTGAAAAATCAAAACACAATATAGTCCTCACAACATGTGAAGCCTTCTTCAAATCATTTATCTTCCCTTTGTTTCTCTGCCCCCAGTGTAAATAAACTCTCAACAGATGTCCTGACCCTTATTTATCAATATCAAATTAGGCTTGATGCAACCACCTTTCCCGTCTCCAGATATCTCCCTCTTTTTTGCCGAAAATCTCCAGCTATTCCACTATTCTTATGTTACTCTCAGCATATCATGCAAAAACCAAAAATACCGCATCCATAGCGTGGCATAACATATTAACCAATGCAGTACAAAAAAATTATGTTTACATTACTTATAACCACAGTTCTCCCCAAATAGTGTTACATGTGCTTGTGCAAATCCACTCCACAACCATCACTGTGCTTGAACACCATGCAAAGGATTCTCACCAGAATCTGCAATACATCGTTGTCATAGAGTCCAAACAGGCTCAATATAGAGGGACACAAACATCACTTGCTCACTTCTTGTGCTTCAACTCTAGTTCTCAGGGTCCCTCAGATTATTCAAGATAATAGTAGGGGAAAACACAGCTCATAGTGTGGAAGGATTAAAAAAAAAACACTGTTTATTTAACCACTTCAAGTCCGGACACTTTCGCCTCCTTCCTGTCCAGGCCAATTTTCAGCTTTCAGCGCTATCACAATTTGAATGACAATTGCGCAATCATGCAGCACTATACTATATGAATTTTTTAGCATTTTTTTTTGAGACAGATAAAACTTTATTTTGGTGGTATTTATTCACCACTAGGATTTTAATTTTTTTGCTATATAAATAAAAAAGTCCAAACGTTTTGGGGGAAAAAAGTGTTTTTCTTATAAAATTTTGCAAATAGTTAATCTTTCTTCATAAATCTTGGTCAAAATGTATTCAGCTATCTTTTTAGTAAAAAACAAAATAACCCAAATTAGTTTATAACCAAAAATTATATTTTTTCAAAACATTTTTTGACATTTTTATTTTATTTATATTATTTATGTTTTTTTTTTTTTAACCATCGTGACACTATCCTACTTGTGGGGGGTGATGAAGATTTTTTTTTTTTTTTTTTGTACACTGATTGCTTTTATACCCATAAAGGCTGTAAAAGCAATCATTTCTCCTTCTCTCTGGCTGCATTCTTGCTGCCATTGAAAAATACTGTGAGAGCTGTGATTGGTCACAGATTGTCACATGGTACAAGGCTGTTGTGAATAGCCTTGTACCATGTGACCTCAGTGATCATTCACAGATTTCACTAGTAGTAAGCAATGATGTCACAAGTGACATCTTGCTTACTACTATTCATGTGATCACTGATTGACCAATCAGTGATCATATGATCGGGACCTCACACAGAGGTCCTGTACAGCGATCGATGTTCTGCTGTGTCCCAGGGAGCTCGCACAGGCAAGGAAGCGGGAGGACATTTATAAATGGCCACCCGCTCCTGCACTGCTCCCATCCGGCCGTTTATATACATGGGCCGGACAGGAAGTGGTTAATAAAAAGATGCACTTGCACAAAGGTCCAGGAGATAAAAACAGAGTACAATAGCAAACCAAGATGGCAGACCCCATTGGAATGAACATCTCTTCGGCATAATATTTTTTTACTTGGAGCAGTAAAAAGTGTTATTTCAGCATGAATTGAAATACAATTATAGACTTAGCCTCCCACTTAAAGGCTAAGTTCACCTTTAAAAATAATAAATTACATATTTTTGCAGGAAAACAATGAATTTTTTTTTTTTTTTCACAGGAGTTTGCAAAGCATTGAACCAGTGATCAGTAGATCACAGCTGCACATCATGCTACCGCACACTTCTCTAGCTCCCTGCCCATACTGAAGTAAAGGTTTTCTGTTACTGAGCTGGAGGAAGTATCACAGGACTAAGAGTGTGGCAATTACTACGCTTGTATTTCATTGAGAACTACAAGTCCATCTGCCGCTTTATTAAACAGGATGTGTAGTTCATTCATTCACAGAGCTCTTTATTGAGCACCACAGCCTGGAATATTTAGGAGACCAAAGAAAACTGTTACAGAAAACATTTTTCTGCACCTTTTATATACAGTTAGGCCCCTTTCAAGTTTTTCAGACATATCCAGAGTGAACCATAATGTATATATTGGTGTGTGGATGTAAATGGATGATCATCCATTTATATCAGCCTACATCCGAGTCTGTTCAGGTCTATTTTTTTTTTCAACAGAGCAAGGCTGCATCCTTTTCCAATCATACAGATCTGAATGGATGTAAAAAGCCTTTTATTAATCATGGACAAAGCACATAAAAACACCATTAACCTCCCGTTTACCTCAGCACTTAATTATAGCCATATGATTAAGGGGTTATGATTAAGCACTGTGGTAAGCCTAAATTTATGAAGAAATTAGATTTTGTTTTATTGTTTTTTTTATAGGAAAAAGTAGAAAATATTTTTTTTTTTTTTCAAAATGTTCTTTTCGTTTATATTGCAAAAAATAAAAAGCCCAGTGGTAATCAAATACCACCAAAAGAAAGCTTGTTTTGTGTGGAAAAAATGATAAATATTTAATTTGCATAAAGTGTTGCATGAACGCGCATTTGGCAGTTAAAATAGTGTGGGTAAAACCTTCCAGAGCTCAAGTGGTTAAAACAAGCCAACTCTGATCTCTCTAACCGCATGTAATTCATCCTCAAAGATCAAAAATGACAACAGAAACTCTAAAAAGATTCCTGCACTATTTTAAGCATTTTCATATGTGACATGCAGTGACACCTGTGCATGAAATTGCACAGGTGTCAGCAAGCCGCATATAAAATTGAACTGACCAGCCGCTTTGAAATTGGGCTACTTCAACACTGCATTCTGTGTGAACCAGGGCTAAAGTTTAGTTTTTAGACAGAGTCTACCAGTTTAAACCCCATGCACTTGGACACCTAGAGGCTGCATAGCCTAGCGTACAATTCCCAGCGCTTTATTACACCTGCAAATTACACCTGCATAGGTGCAAAGTACAGATTCCCATACAAGTGAAAGGCTGTACTTACAGTCAGGTCCATAAATATTGGGACATCGACACAATTCTAACATTTTTGGCTCTATACACCACCACAATGGTTTTGAAATGAAACGAATAAGATGTGCTTTACCTGCAGACTGTCAGCTTTAATTTGAGGGTATTTACATCCAAATCAGGTGAACGGTGTAGGAATTACAACAGTTTGCATATGTGCCTCCCACTTGTTAAGGAACCAAAAGTAATGGGACAATTGGCTTCTCAGCTGTTCCATGGCCAGGTGTGTGTTATTCCCTCATTTTCCCAATTACAATGAGCAGATAAAAGGTCCAGAGTTCATTTCAAGTGTGCTATTTGCATTTGGAATCTGTTGCTGTCAACTCTCAAGATGAGATCCAAAGAGCTGTCACTATCAGTGAAGCAAGCCATCATTAGGCTGAAAAAACAAAACAAACCCATCAGAGAGATAGCAAAAACATTAGGCGTGGCCAAAACAACTGTTTGGAACATTCTTAAAAAGAAGGAATGCACCGGTGAGCTCAGCAACACCAAAAGACTCGGAAGACCACGGAAAACAACTGTGGTGGATGAGCGAAGAATTCTTTCCCTGGTGAAGAAAACACCCTTCGCAACAGTTGGCCAGATCAAGAACACTCTCCAGGAGGTAGGTGTATGTGTGTCAAAGTCACCAATCAAGAGAAGACTTCACCAGAGTGAATACAGAGGGTTCACCACAAGATGTAAACCATTGGTGAGCCTCAAAAACAGGAAGGCCAGATTAGAGTTTGCCAAACGACATGTAAAAAAGCCTTCACAGTTCTGGAACAACATCCTATGGACAGATGAGACCAAGATCAACTTGTACCAGAGTGATGGGAAGAGAAGAGTATGGAGAAGGAAAGGAACTGCTCATGATCCTAAGCATACCACCTCATCAGTGGAGCATGGTGGTGGCAGTGTCATGGCGTGGGCATGTATGGCTGCCAATGGAACTGCTTCTCTTGTATTTATTGATGATGTGACTGTTGACAGAAGCAGCAGGATGAATTGTGAAGTGTTTCGGGAATATTATCTGCTCATATTCAGCCAAATGCTTCAGAACTCATTGGACGCCGCTTCACAGTGCAGATGGACAATGACCCAAAGCAGACTGCAAAAGCAACCAAAGAAGTGGAATGTTCTGCAATGACCAAGTCAATCACCTGACCTGAATCCGATTGAGCATGCATTTCACTTGCTGAAGACAAAACTGAAGGGAAAATGCCCCAAGAACAAGCAGGAACTGAAGACAGTTGCAGTAGAGGCCTGGCAGAGCATCACCAGGAATGAAACCCAGCGTCTGGTGATGTCTATGCATTCCAGACTTCAGGTTGTAATTGACTGCAAAGGATTTGCAACCAAGTATTAAAAAGTGAAAGTTTGATTTATGATTATTATTCTGTCCCATTACTTTTGGTCCCTTAACCATTGGGAGGCACATATGCAAACTGTTGTAATTCCTACACCGTTCACCTGATTTGGATGTAAATACCCTCTAATTAAAGCTGACAGTCTGCAGTTAAAGCACATCTTGTTCGTTTCATTTCAAATCCATTGTGGTGCTGTATAGAGCCAAAAATGTTAGAATTGTGTCGATGTCCCAATATTTATGGACCTGACTGTATGTAAATGCCAATGGCATTTTGGACACAGGAAATTTGGGGGAATTTACGCAAGAGCAGTTTGCAGCCTCTTGACATCGATGTTCATGAAGCCTTTGAAACACTTGCTGTTTGTTTACATTGCAGCTTGAGCTTTCAGTCTGCCAATATTCTGTCATCTATTAACAGTAAAGGAGCTAAGATTTCAGTGCTGTTCAGTTCTGTTTTGACCTTTTTAAAGATTAATTTCTTGACAATACCTATACCTACATGAGGGCTTGTATTAAAAATGCTTTTTTTACTTGCACAGAATATGTAATTACTTTAGTTGTGTAGTTCAGACTCCACTCGTACGGGCTTATTTTGGTCTCAGTAAAAGCAGTCGTCCAACTAGCATTTTCAGGAAGGGCTTAGAAGCGTCAACCCACATATTTCTTTACGTTATTTAATTTTATTTCTTTTTTGAAATACAGTATTTGTTTACAGTCAAAACTCCCATATTTATGCATTTTATATGCCTATGTCTTTTTTGTTTTTAGTATATTTCTCTTACTTTGCAATTAACATTTCCCTTTATATCGTCTTCCCATATTAGTCTATGAATATCCTGACTTCAGTTTTACTTCTGTATGCCAAAGAGGAAGAGGCATTTTGGCTGTTGGTTGCTGTGTGTGAAAGGATGCTGCCTGATTACTTTAACCATAGGGTCCTTGGTGAGTTTACTGCTTGTGACTGATGGGAACCCTGCTGTATTTTGGTTTACCAGAAAATTGACCTAAATTTCTTCCCTTTTGAAAAGATTTCATATCAGCTTGGGAAACCATGATTGGCTAATGGAAAATGCAGACCTTTTGTTACAGTGGCATGCAAAACATTTACCAGTTGTAGCCCTATTGCATTATGAAATGATTGTGAAAGTGCATATCTGGGCAAAATAAAATCATATATATATATATATATATATATTCTCTCTAAATACACGCACAATTAACTAAAGTTTTATCTCTTTACAAATGGTGCAAATATGTGAAAATACCATTTGATCCTGCCAGAAATCCATTGTGCTGCAATGTTTCTGTAGTGAGCTGTGAACACAGGGCTTCTGCTGCACGGAAATCCCAAGCAGTGTTATCAGCCCTTTTTGAGTCCTCCCCTGCTGGGTTGCAGAACTACTCTTAACTTTTGTAAGTTGTAAAATAATGCTAGGTACACACACAAAGTTTCTTTTTCATTCAACCCAGCGAGCTGAACAAAATAAACTTGCAGATCGCCATGCTAACACATCCAATGTTAGTACAACAAACTCCCTGTTGAGCTATTGTGTCCTGACAGGGGGGCACACTGATTGGCAGCCAGTGCTGATCGGATGCCAATCTGATGCTGGTTTTCCAGCATGCCCATTTGACAGAAGCCAGTTGAGAAGCTGTACATATGAGGTGAAAGTCGGCCAGTTCCTGCGGAACCAACCATTTTTGGCTGATTTCCAGCCAGTATGTACCCAACTTTAGGCTACTTCTAGGACAACTATTAGTCTTTTGGCTGATGTTTATCAGAGAGGCCACTAATAGCATACACAAGTACATGCTGTAACAAGGCTATGTATACTAGACATGTATTCAAAAGATATTATCAGCTATACATAAGTGAATAGTCAATTCTTTATTGAACAGTAATGCTTTATTTAGAAAACATGTTTTTAGAGCCAGTGCAGAATAGCCTTGTATTTATTATTTAGCTTCTTCCTGGTAAGAGGTACACAATGTCAGTAAGATTTGACTAACTTACCATTAATCATTGTGAAACTCTGTTTAGGGAAATCATGTATTCAAGCATAGTTGCAGATTCTAATTGAGTAATGGTTGTTTGCCAGTAAAATAAATACTTAAATGCTAAAAATATTGCATTTTTATTACTGTATAGGGTAATCTTTGTAATAATATTCATTATATACATCTTTTTCTCACAGGAATTTTTGTACAGTATATTACTTTTGCATGCAGATCAAGCTGCCCAACTACAATGGCCAACTTTAATTCATATAGCCTAAATCCTTTTGCTGCCACTGCAATGTCTATGGCAGCAGTAGCGCAGCATTAGCTGGAGTTAAGCTTCCATTTGTGTATGGCTTACTTAAAGCTGAAGTTTAGTCAAAAATAATTTTTCCCTTATGGCTAAGGTCACATCACTTACCTGTACTGAAGATTATCCCACTTTGGCAGACTGCTGCTTTGTGTGAAAATCTTCTTTTCTAGGGTGCAGGTTCTCTTCCTGTCATTGAACTTCCGACATGGAGGGGGTTAATAGCTTTGGGTCTTTAGGTTGAACTGCATTCAAGGCAGTCCAACAGGGACCCACCTCTTCCTCACCTGTCATGCATTGAGAAAAGTCCATGCATTGTTTACACTAAATGTAGCATGGCCTTGGAATTGGGGAGAGCCAGCTGAATGACAGGATTCTCTCTCCCATTCAGAGGTTTGTTACATTCAGTGTAAACATTCTCATCAATGGATGAGAAGGGAGGAGGTAGTTGGTTCTCTGTTGTACAGTACTGAATGTAGTTTAGCCTGAAGATGTGAGGTTATTAACTTCTTTCATGTCAGAAGTTCTGCACCAGGAGGAGGACAGGGCACACAGGAGAGTAGATTTTTACACAAAGCAGCAGCCAAACTGGAAGACTTGGGGCATACTTCATTATGGGTAAGTGATGTGACTGCAGCTATAGGGGTGTTTTTTTTCAGCTTTAAAGTCTATTTCAAACGACATGTTTATCTAAGATTCCCTCATTCACAGGGGGACAACACTGCTGCAGAAAGAACATGGCTTTCACCCTGTTAAAGGAATTGGAAAAAATAAAGGATTGACTTTACTGACAGGTTCATTAGAAATGAAAACTATGTCACGGGGGACAGACGAACGCTGTTGTGGTAATGCTAGTAACAGGCTGCAGCATATATATCATTTTTGGTTTACCCCATAGTTCTACTTTATTAATATCAGGATCTTATACTTAAGTGCATATCATTCCTAAAAATGAGCTTCTTTTATTATTCTCTTTCGGTCTAGAAAATATACCATTAAAAGCATTTTGTTACATCTGTATATTAAGTGCAAAATTCAAGGTGACCCTTCCAGAAATCCATCACAAGTCTCTTTGCACTCAGCAGTTTTAGTAGCCTTGCTCATTTCACCTATGTAAGCTACAGAACACCATCACTTAATGCAATTTAGATGAGGCAGGGGGAGAAGTGCTAGTCTTAACACTCTTCCTATGCTAGGGTGACACTGCTCCTCCATATTTAGAGTATAGCTGTTGAGTGTTAACACCCTAGGGCAGGAAGTTTGTTATTGGTGAGATCACCAATAATATATAATAAATCTGAAAAGAAAAAAAACATGCATTTTCCACATCTAATGACTGGTAAGCTGCAAAACTGTATGAGATTTTTGTTCTTGGGTTTAGAAACACTTAAAGAAATGTTGCTTGTAGTTTCATAATGCTGAGTTCCCGTTTAGCTGTGTTCATTGGAAGTGTCATTTACTGTACAGTAAAATGTCATCTACAATAGACCATTGAAAGTAGAGTAGAGAAGTTTTACATTTTTCTGGAGGAGTTTGAAGCTTGATTGATTGATGTTCCTAATGTTCTTTGTTCTTGGCAGGAGCCCAGGTTGACCAGTCTGTCTTTGAAGAACTAATACAAGAGAAACTTCCTGAGCTGGCTGAGCATATAACTGACTTGTCCACACTGGCTTTCTATATCTTTGTCATGGTTTCTCACCTTATTCATCAGTATTATGCCCCTGCAGAGTGCAGTGAATGTTGTGGACTGTTTCTTCTTTGATGGCATTAAAGCCATTTTCCAGATTGGACTGGCCGTTCTAGATGCTACCGCTGTGGAGTTGTGCAACAGCAAAGACGACGGGCAAGCCTTAACGATTTTGAGCAGGTTGTTTATTCTTCTATCCCTTTTACTTCCCCTGTTTCCATTTATCAACTGATACAATGCAATACTTGTAATTTGTGTAGCAAAATTATACATACAACATGTGAGCATTACTGAAATGAGTTGTTGTATGGATTATGCCCATAGTAAGCGGGTCAAAAACAGGTTTCAAAATCTCAAAGAAATTTCAAATGTGGCTTAATATCACCATTAAATAATATTATTGTGTTGCCTTATAGTCCTCCAAGCACAAGTGACACACTAACAGAATATGTACTTCTGTGAAGGTTTTTAGAGCATGTCAGGAATGAAGAGAGTCCCTTGCCACAGACTGGAAACTGGCATAGTATGCTAAATAATGAGCAAGAGGCCTATCCAATTACAGAAATTTCAGATTTAATAAGAGATTCATATGAGGTACGTGTTTTTCCTTCAAATGTAAAAAATATGTTGTTAAAGTGTGTCAACAATCATCAGTTAAAAGCAAGAGTGACTGCAACCTATTATATCTTATATATCCATTCATGGCATAACTTCACCTGCTAGTGAGTAATCAATATATGCCTGGAAGTCATTTTTTTTTGTTTGTTTGCTAGGAACATGTAGTTATATACAGATAAACAACCATATGGAAATGTATATAATAATTAGTAACATTTAACAACAGGACAAACACTTTTATAGATTTGTTGGTTTGCTTCCAGAAATTTGGCAACAATTCTGTGGAACAAATTGAGAGTTTACGTTGTAAGCATAGGACCCGTGTACTCCAAAACCATGAGGACACTACAAAGCAGAATGTTGTAAGTATGCTGCTGTGTAGTATAATATTTTATTTAACTATCAATCTATTAACACTGCAGCCCCTTCCAGTTCTCAATCACTTTTGATTTCAAGAGACTGCCTTCCAATTTCTACTTCCTATGCTTGATGTGTCCTCTTGAATCCCTCCATTTTCCTATGTCAATGTTGGTCTTCCCTTTTTAACGGTCTTCTTCTGGGCTCAGTCAGTAATACTTTCTCGACAGGGTACAGTTATATATCTGCTGACCAGGACCTGCTTAACATGAATGTTAACAACATCAAAGGCACTTAACAGCTGATAGATAACATAGCTGGAACTGTAGTGCCACCTTTCTCCTTTAATTTAAACTGTTAAATATGTATCATTAAATGCAATACATAAGGACAAAAACATAGATATGCACCATTTTTAGCGATGTAGTGCACCACAATATATGGTAGTGTGTTACTGAGTGTTGCAATGCACTGCAGCACATGTATGTTCCTTATCCTTTAATGTGTTGGTGTGCCAGTGAAAATGAATGGTGCAGTAATGCACAAAAGCATATATGGTACATTAAAGTGCATTGTGATATGGTGGAATGCCTGTAATATGGCATAGAGAAATTATGCACATCCTGCCAGTAAACTGTTTGACCTCTTATGGCCGACTCAAAATGTTCTTGTAGCCAGCTTACAATCTTTCAAAACCCAAGCCCAAAACCTCTAAGGTTAGAAAAATGGGAGCTGCCATTACAGTTGGTTTTTAAAGAACAACATCACCTAAAGTTGTTCCTAATAAATGCCACCACCAAATCCTTCCAAATCCAGCAATCTTTCTTCTGACATGGTCCTGGCTGGCTCCAATTCATACTGTGCATATGGGCCACAGCCCCATTCATTCCTTTGGGTAATTCACACTCTTATGAACCATTGGAGGTCCCCATGATTACGGCCTATCAATAGGAATAAATGGGGCTGTGCACTCATGTGCAGTTTGAAGAGGAGCTGACTGGAACCTTTTTGGAGGAAATATTGCTGGATCAGGGAGGAAGGTAAGTATTATCCCAGGAGGGCTGCACTCAGAGGATGGGGGGATTTAATAAAGGACAGCTTTGCTAAAAGTGAAGTTGTACTTTTTAAAAACCATGTTGGCTATTTCTACTTTTCATGTATTCAAACTCACAGGTTCCCTTTAATCAATTTATTTATTATTATACAGGATTTATATTGCGCCAACAGTTTGCTCAGCGCTTTACAATATACAGGGAGACAATACAGCAACAATACAGTTCAATACAAGAGGGATAGGAGTGCCCTGCTCCTTGGAGCTTACAATCTAGGAGGGAGGGGTTAGTGGTACAAAAGGTAATAACTGTGGGGGATGGACTGGTAGGAAGAGTAGAAGATTCCATTATTATCTGAGGGCAGGATAGGCTTCCCTGAAGAGAGAGGTTTTCAAAGATTGCCTAAAAGTGAGCAGAGTAGGCGATAGTCTGATAAATTGGGGTAGAGAGTTCCAGAGGATGGGGGAAGCTCTGGAGAAGTCCTGGAGACGAGCATGGGAGGAGGAGACACGGGAGCTAGAGAGCAGGAGGTCTTGTAAGGAGCGCAGAGTATGGTTTGGGTGATATTTGGGAGACAAGATTGGTGATGTAATTTGGGGCAGAGTTATAAATGGCTTTATATGTTATTAATGTTTTGAATTTTATCCGTTGGGCAATGGGAAGCCAGTGGAGGGATTGGCAGAGAGGGGTGGCTGATACAGAACGGTTAGTAAGGTGGATGAGTCTGGCAGCAGCATTCATGATAGACTGAAGAGGGGATAGCCTGCGATGAGGTAGGCCAATGAGGAGGGAGTTACAATAGTCAAGGCGAGATATAACAAGGGAGTGAATAAGTTGCTTAGTGGTTTCCGAGGTTAAGAACGGCCGTATCTTGGAGATGTTACGGAGGTGAAGTCTACAAGATTTGGACAGCGATTGGATTTGGGGCTGAAAAGGACAGATGGGAGTCTAGGGTTACACCTAGCACCCTGGCATGAGGGGATGGACTGATGATTGTGTTATTGATTTTAATGGAGAAGTTAGGGGAGGGGGCACGGGTTGGAGGGAATACTAAGAGCTCAGTTTTGGAAAGATGGAGTTTGAGGAAGTGGAGTGACATCCATGCCAATATGTCGCTTAGTAGGTTAGTAATGCGAAAGGAGACTGAAGAGGTGAGGGATAGAAAGATAATTTGTGTGTCATCAACATAGAGATGGTACTTAAAGCCATGGGAGTTTATAACGTGACCAAGGGAGGAGGTGTAGATGGAGAAGAGTAGGGGCCCAAGGACGTAACCTTGAGGGACCCCTACAGAAAGAGGGAGTGAAGAGGAGGAGCCAGAGGTATAAGTAAAGCTGAAGGAGCGCTGCGATAGGTAGGAGAACCAGGAGAGAGCAGAGTCTCTGTGGCCAAGAGAGTGGAGTTTTTTGAGGAGGAGGGGATGGTCAACCGTATCAAAAGCCGCAGAGAGGTCGAGTAGTAAGAGTACGGAGTAGTGGCCATTGGTTTTAGCAGTTAGTAGATCATTAGTGAGTTTTAGTAGGGCAGTTTTCAGTGTAGTGTAGTGAGCGAAAGCCAGACTGTAAAGGGTCAAGAAGGTTGTTGTCAGTGAGGTAGGAGCTCAGGCGATTGTAGACTATGCGTTCTAAGAGTTTAGAGGTAAATGGGAGCAGGGAGATGGGTCTTAAGTTGTTTAGGTTGGTGGGGTCCAGGGAGGGCTTTTTAAATATAGGAGTGATGTGTGCATGCTTTAGAGGGGTGGGGAAGGCACCCTTAGAGAGGGAGAGATTGAAGATGTGAGTGAGGGAGCATAGGATGGAAGAAGAGGGTGACCGTAGTAGTTGTGAGGGGACAGGATCCAGGGGGCAGGTAGTGAGACGGGCTTCTGAGAAAACCTTAGTGACCTATTCAGGAGTAGCAAGGTCAAAAGAGGAAAGTGTTGAGGGAGGTTTAATATAAGGTAGGCTAAGTGGGATAGATGTCTGTGCAGTGGAAATGCCCCTACGAATTGCATCAATCTTGCTTTTGAAATGATTTGCAATCTCGTGAGCAGTGAGTGAGGTGCTGGGTGGAGGTGAAGGTAGTAGAGAGTTAAAAGTAGAGAAGCGACGACAAGGACTGGATGATAAGCTATTGATGAGAGTGACAAAGTAGGCTTGTTTGGCAGCATGGAGGGAGGAATTGTATGTAAAGAAAGCAGATTTATATAGGGTGAATGCTTGGTGAGATTTGGTTTTACGCCACAATCGCTCCAGCGCACGACTATGTTGTTTAAGATTTCTGGTGTCGTCAGTCTGCCAAGGTTGTAATGGTCGGGGCCTGATGTTTCGTGTTGTTAGAGGAGCAAGTGAGTCTAGTGTGGATGAAAGCAAACTGTTGTAGACAGCAGTGGCCAGGTGAGTGCAGGACAGGGGAGAGATTCTGTCATAGAGTTGGTCAGTTGCAGAGTGGAAAGGAGCAGGGTTCAAGTTGTGAAGGTTTCTGCAGGTAATTGTTTGCTGCTTGGAGGGATAAGTGTTTGAAGATGAGGAAACTGTGAAGGTGATGAGATTGTGATCAGAGAGAGGAAAGGGGGTGTTTTTGAGGTTGTAGGGAGTGCAAAGATGGGAGAAAACAAGGTCTAATGTATTCCCATCAGAGTAAGTGGAGGACTGTATACATTGTGCTAATGCAAAAGATGAGGTTAGGTTGAAGAGTTGGGATGTAGCCGGGTTGTTCACATTAATGGGGATATTAAAATCTCCAAGAATGATAGTGGGTATTTCAGAGGAGAGAAAGTAGGGTAGCCAGGCAGAGAAATCATCAAGAAAGCGGGACACACCGGTCCAGGAGGCCGATAGATCACTGCAATCCTCAGAGAAATGGGAGAAAACAGCGGAATGCAGTGAGTCTCGAAAGAAGAGAAGGATAGAGAGAGAGGGTTAGGGAGGACTTGAAAGGTGCTCAGTGGGGATAGAAGCAAACCAACCCCACCACCTTTCCGACCACTGGGTCTAGGTGAGTGTGTCTAGAGGAGGCCTCTATACGAAAGTGCTGCGGGAGAAGAGGAATCTGCTGCTTGAAGCCAGGTTTCTGTAATTGCTAGTAGGTTAAGGAGTGGGAGACAAAAAGGTCATGGACAGAGGTGAGCTTATTACAGACAGAGTGGGCATTCCAGAGCACACATAAAAAAGGGACGGTGGTTTTTTGGAGCATGGGGATTGATATTAAATTGAGGGGATTGCAGCTATTCCTGAAGGAAAGAGGGTGGCTGGTGTGGGGGTGAGATACTGGAGGACCAGGGTTTGGGGCGATATCCCCAGAGGTTAGGAGAAGGAGGGTGAGGAAAGTAAGGTGGGAGCGGGCTGTATACAAGTGTACATGCCTTCCAGTTCTGGTGTTTGGGTCAGCATGTAAGTAAAGTATCAGCTGGAGGTGATAAGAGCAGTAGTAGGGAGATGGTAGCAGTGAGGGTGAGATGTATACGTTTTGGGGTGGAGCAGAGGGGTAAGGAAAGGAGATTTTGGGAACGCAGGATAGTAAACATGAAAAGGAGGAGTAGAGACGGCATATTTAAAGATAGGTGGAGTGGGAATCAGACTTGTAGGAGATGTTTCCAAGGGTGTTTGCTTGCAGTCCATCCAGCGTGCAGTAGAGTTCTTTGCTGTATCTTCCTGCTGCTTGAGATTAACTGCTGCTGTGTTCAACTGCTGCTGATTCGCACTTCTGCAAAAACCGCACTCACGCACAAAACTGCACTCCATCTGTGATTGTACCCCCCTATCTGTGACCTCCCCCCATGAGCTGATCTAAATTTATAGGGAGATGGTCAAATGAGCAACTCTTCTCCGCCCCAATTAAGAACTGATAAGGATCACATGAATTGGGGGGATGTTTCTCAAACACAGACCAGAGTAATAAAAGAAGTGCAGCAAGAGGTGAGAATCTATCAACAAACAGACCAAAATATATACACTTTGTTCAGAGATAGCAGAAGTCTATGCGTTGTTGAAGTTACAGTAAGAGTGGAGGTGAGAGCAGCAATTTACCCAGAGATTTATGGTGCACAGTTGATTTTACAGTAGTGTGGGTTGCTGTGGCTCCTGCCCTACCATTCCAAAGCATTAGTGATCACATGTATAAGTGACAAAGCTTTATTTTTCCCCAAGCATGCCTTTGGTGATTAGAACCAAAGATCTCAGCTTTTTTTTTTTTTTTGCTAGAGCACAACACTTGATTTCAAAATGCATCTGGCATATCTGACACTGGTGCTGCTTGCTGAAGGCATTGATATTTGTGATAAGCTCATTGCTAAGATTTCCTTCTGCTAACTCTTTCAAGCAGATCATATTTGAATAAGCAGCAGATTATTACTATGACAGCTAAACCTTACTTTAGGCCATTTGCAGTGGTATGGGGCTTTTGCCTTGCTTACCTGACGAGAGTAAAAGTACTTCTATTGAAGACTTTTGTTGCTCTCCATGTATTAACATTTTTAAATTATATCCCAGATTGTTCAAATTAGAAAGTGTTCAAATATTGTTTTATAGCTTTTCTCTGCTTTGTTGTGTGTGTGTGTGTGTGTGTGTATACACACCTCTTGTATACATGCTGCTGTGTAGCAGGGAATACCCAGGGTACTTCTTATTGGCTTTGTGCACTGACAGACTCCTGGTAGGGATAGCTCAGGTGAGTTCAGACTATGGTCTTAACATGCCTGGGCCCATCCCTAGTTGTGATACCAGGAGAGAAGGGAGAAAAGACTGCAATGTGGAGAGGAAGTAGATGAACGATCTTCTTTTGCACTGCTCCAGCTCCAGTAAAAGTCACCCTCTACATATGTGTGTGTGTATATATGTGCGTGTCTATAGGTATTTATATATAGAGTGTGTTTGTGTGTGTATATTTTTATATATATATATACACATACACACACCCACACACACCCTTAAAATCACCAAATGCTTTAGATAATGCCCCTGGGCATTATCCCCCAAACACTATGTATTCCCTGGGGTCTAATGTGAGTATACAGTATTTCCACCCTAGTCCCCCAGTATATTTCTGACCGATATATTTCCAGTAAAAATAACAGAAATAAAGTTAATTAAGGACTTACTGAAGAAGGACCCTGCATGAATTCTGTTTTTATTTATATAAAGACATTCAGTGACACCTGTACCTGAGTCAATTTTGTGTAGCCATAAATACACTTGGTCACAAGTGTTACATAAATGTCATGTTATAAATGAAAAGTTGATTATTCATGCATGTTCCCTCTCTACACTACATATAAATGCCACGGGCACCTTTTGTGGCATATCATGCTGCACCATAAAGTGTCTCTAGACATTGCTGATTTTAATTTTACATGTCCTGGTGCATGTGCAGAAATTCATCTTTTATTGCCCTGACTTTAATAAATGTGTTGCCTACAGAGAGTTACTACAGTTTGCACTTCCTTATTGCTATTTGCACTGTTTTATTGAAAAGGCAAGTGGCCGAAGTAGTTGTCTATATCTCTCCAACATTTAAAATCATGATAATTGCAAGTTAATAATCTTTACCATGAAATTTAATTATGAATGTTGATCTCACCTCAGCTTTTTTTTTTACTTGTTTAGCTTAGAGTTGTTGCACCAGATGTTTCATTTCTTCATGAAGATTTAGAAGACCTGTATGACATGTTTAAGGTGGGACTGAGCAGGAAACGTAATCTTTTAGGTAGCATGCAAATGAGTACTGTTAGTTTGGTATGTACTATTATGCAAGTTCAATGTATAGTATGGCTAATTTCAGGAGAGACATGAATAATAGTGTTTTTGATTCTTTTTATATGTATGTAAATAATGAATTTGTAACATCCAACAAACTTAAAGAAGACTACCCTCCACTTCCTTTTCAAAAACTGGCCACACTAAACAAAAATCTGTGGTTAAGCAAATACTTGCATAAGTTACATAAGTCCATGCGCCTTTTTGTGCATTGTATTTTTTTTTTTATATATATATATATATATATATATATATATATATAAAATATTCACTAACTATATACAGTATATTATGTGCACTGCTCAAAAAAATTAAAAGAACACTTTGAAAACACATCAGATCTCAATGGAGAAAAATATTATGCTGGATATCTATACTGATTTGGATTGGGTAATTTGTTGGGAACTTAAGAATGCCCCATCATTTGATAGAAATGATAATTATCAACCTACAGAGGACTGAAGTCAAAGCCACCCCAAAAATCAAAGTGAAAAAATTATGCAGCAGGCTAGTCCGTTTTGCTGAAATTTCATTGCACTTGCCACATGAGGCAGGCATTGACGTGCACCAGGAGGAACCCAGGACCCACTGCACCAGTTTAGGGTCTGACAATGGGTCCAAGTGTTTCATCCCGATACCTATTGGCAGTCAGGGTGTCATTGTCTAGCCTGTAGAGGTCTGTGCGTTCCTCCATGGATATGCCTCCCCAGACCATCACTGACCTACCACCAAAACGGTCATGCTGAACGATCTTACAGGCGGCATAACGTTCTCCACTGCTTCTCCAGACCCTTTCACATCTGTCACATGTGCTCAGGGTGAACCTGCTCTCATCTGTGAAAAGCAGTGGCGGACCTGCCAATTCTGATGTTCAATGGCAAATGCCAATCGAGCTCTATTGTGCTGAGCAGTGAGCACAGGGACCACTAGAGGACGTCGGGCCCTCAGGCCACCCTCATGAAGTCTGTTTCTGATTGGTCAGTGACATTCACAACAGTGGCCTGCTGTTGGTCATTTTATAGGGCTCTGGCAGTGCTCATCCTGTTCCTCCTTACACAAAGGAGCAGTTACCAGTCCTGCTGATGGGTTAAAGACCTTCTACAGCTCTGTCCAGCTCTCCTAGAGTAACTTACTGTCTCCTGGAATCTCCTCCATGCTCTTGAGACTGTGCATCTATTGCACCTGTTGTTAGTTTCATTAACACCAAAGCAGCTGAAACTGATTAACAGCCCCTTCTGCTACTTAACTGACCAGATCAATATCCCAGGAGTTTAATTGACTTGATGCTATACTTTGTTAAAAAGTCTTACTTTTTTTTTTGAGCAGTGTATAATATATAACTAAAGGAAAAACTTTTTTTTTTGCAAAAAAAAAAAAAAACTGGCAGGGTTTAGAACGCCTGTCAGTTTTTTGTTGCTGTCTGTTCCTCTGCTAAGGAAATGCACCCTCTCTATTTGTCATGTTTACCATTTTCACCAAAAGTGAAAGAAAATCCCACATTTTGGACTGTCCGCAAAACAGTAATACAGGGGAAATCTTCCAATGAGGAGACAGGTGCTGGAAAACCTTTTTGCAACCAGGAATTCCCTCAATTTGGGAGTGATTTCCTCTCATTTCCTGTTATATCTATGTGAACGGCAGTAAATGGAAATCTACCCAAAATTTAGATGAATTATAACCCCTTCCTTACTTTATCCAAAACTAAAAAAAGGTTTTGCCTTTAGTTCTGCTTTAAATCTGTAAACCACACTTTTGTGTCCATAACAATAGAATGCACATACTTCAACATGACATCTGTTGGTGATACCTGAAAGCAAGGTGCATTTGCCTATTAGCACACATCCATTCCAAATAACACATGCCTTAGTGTACTGAAGAACAATCAAGTAAGGGCCGGTTCACACTATAGAAATGCAGTCCAGATTTGTTTCTGCATGCACATTTTTGACGTGTTCTAGTGCATATTCCCCCTTTTTTTTCTTCACCATAAATAAGGACATACATTTCAGTGCATTTTTGGTGCAATTAGGTGCATTCCGGTGCCTTTTTGATGCATTTTACCACATTCCAGTACAGTTCAGTACAGAAAAAATGCAGCATGTTCTACTTTTTTTTTTCTGGGACTGGAGTACACTGGAAATGACTGCACTGATATGAACTCTGCTTTGGAAACCATATAACCTACTATCCATAGCAGTTTTCATGCGGAAAAAAAAAACGTACTGGGCTGCATGTGGTGTGAATCAGCCTGTAGGGAGTAGATGATTTTGGTGTGGCAATACGACCCACCTGTTTTGTTTTTCTATAGGGTTATATAATATGTGTTTTCAGTCTTCCCTCAGTTCTCTGCTGCTATTGAATTCAGAGATCTTGCACTAGCTTCTAATGGCCTGACATAAACATCAGAGGGAAATACAGGTAACGGAACCACATTTTAGATGAGTGAAGAGAAGGCTCTGATGTTAGTAACATCAAAGCAGAACTCCAAACAAACTGCGAAAAACACAGCCTAAATACATATCTTTGCTTATTCATCTTCAAAAGGATTTGTAATGCCCCTGGTACACTGCACATATAGACAGGAGACAAATTTATATCCTGAGTTAGTGATGCAGCTACCTATCACACACCTCTGCCTACCGCATGCTCACATGGAAAAAAATTCTCATCGTTCTCATCACCTCTGTCCAGGGAACAGGAGGCAAGCCATTATGTAGCAGAGTGTTCTTGGTTGTGCAGCGTGCCATGGGTGTGTACATTATTACAGTGAAACTGAAAAGAATTACAAATCATTTGGCCAGTAAACCTGTAAAGTTATACTGTATGTATTTCAAATGTGTATTTATGTATTTGCTTAGTTATCCATTTCAATGCCCTATCATCAGCTTACAAGATGCCGTTCTTATCTAGTACTCAAGATTGTTTGATTGGATTTTACTTTCATTGTGGAATATTGGTGTTTTATGTGATTTCTTTTAGCTTTTTAAAGGGAAATATTTTATTTAAGTGAGTGATCATGTTTGGTGTTGCGTTTTTTTTTTTTTCCTTTCAGAGGGAACATTTCATCTGTTGTTACTGGGAAGGGATGTCTTCATCACTGGCACGCCATGACCCCAGCAGACCCTATGCAGAACAGTACAAAATTGACAGTCGTCAGTTTGTGACACTGTTCAGGCTATGTTCACCCTGGGCATGGGGTCCTCACATAGAGGTTCTAGCTACAAGGATGTTCCGTCTGCTTGATGAAAATCAGGACCAGCTCATTGAGTTCAAGTCATTTGCTTGGTGTTTAGGTGAATAAAATTATAAAGAATATGTATAGCTCCTGAGGTCTATCAGATTACCTTAGAGTGTTTTATATGTGTTTTGGTATTTGTTGTGTGATATGCCTGGATGTGTGCAAGTCTTATACATTTTGCAATTGTATTCAAAAACAAAGATTGCAAAAACTTGCTTTGATTTTTAGATATCATATACAATGGTGAGATGAATGAAAAGATCAAACTGTTGTACCGACTTCATATACCACCAGGTAATTAAATTTTTTTCAATATTGGGATCTTATGTATGCAACCTGCAACTGATTTGGAAATTTGATTAAATATGGCTGTTGTCAAAGTTGAGCTGTTGCTCATAGGCAACCAAGCCGATTACTTGATAGATAACACCTGATTGGTTGCTGGAAGTAACCAAAATTAGTTTACCAAAAGGGTTTCCCTTTCCTCACATACCACTGACCATACATGTTTTCAGCTGTTGGTCATTGTAACCCTTGTTCTTGTATACGGAGTACAGGTCGTGTTGGATTGGCCTGTTTAGGATTTGTTGTTTAGAAGACCACGCCACTGAACAGTCAGTAGGAAATGTTCACATCAGGCAGGCAGTATTGTGGGCACCCAAAGGGCCTGTGCTCCTGTGCACAGAAGTAGAGAGTATACTCGGGACCAGAATGTCACGTGACCACAGATTTAGGTAAATAAAAGGATTATTTAGGTATGTTTTAATGCCAGTAATTAGTTTAAAGGGGATGGGTTATGTGTGGGGTACAGCCTGGACAGTAACTTTAACCGCCAAGGCACAAAACCTATAATTACAGACTATTGTTCAGTAAAAGGAAATCAGAAATGGTGCTCTTAGTCCCATGAAAGTTGATTGAGGATTGTTTGCTTTGGCTCATTTTGTCTCATTCCTCCTGCTGCACATTAAAAAGTCCTCTTCTTTGATATTTAAGTGGGCCTCTCTATTATAACTATGTATATAGTAATAGATATGTCCATTTTACATAGACAATGTATTTGGGAATTGTGAGCACAGGCATTTGTTATTGACAGAAGTACTTTTTTTTTTTTTTTCCTACAAACGTTGATGGGAATGTAAAAGCATCAGTCAGTCAGAAGCACCTCAAATACAAGCTGGATGCACCCAAAAGCTTGCTGCAGTTGCCTATCTACAAAAGAACATATGGGGGTTATTTACTAAAACTGGAGAGCGCAAACTTGAGGCAACTCTGCATAGAAACCAATCAGCTTCCAGGTTTTATTGTCAAAGCCTAATAGAACAAGCTGAAGTTAGAAGATGATTGGCTACCATGCACAGCTGCACCAGATTCTGAGAGCATCAGTTTAGTTTATCTGCACTTACTTTGGCTTAGTATATCCACTCCTACAGGCTCATTGAATGTATGCGCCTGTCTCTGTAACATAGACTTGTATATTTTTCTTCAAACTATGTAAGTTGATGGCTTTGTGATAACACATGTAAATGTTTTAATCAGCTCTTACAGAGAATGATCATGACTGTCAGTCACCCCTAAAAGGACCACTTCTATCCACTACAAGACCACTGAAGCTTACAAAAGCAAATGGTATGTTTCTTTATTCACATTTTACAGTGTATTCACATCTTCAGGGAGAGATGCAGCATGTGGCAGTAAAGATCAGTTTCAACTAGCTTTTTATAGCAAAAAAGAACAAAAACTTGTTGAAATAGGTATATTTTGATACAAAGTTGCCTAATGTATGGCCAACATTAGAACTATAGGATCTCCTCTAAGAGAAAGGGCTGTAAGTTTTCTAAGATCACATTGGAGTTCTGCTGTGCTGCCAGTGTAGGTGGACATACTGCTGCCTAGCAGAGTTCCTCTTTAGTTATAAATGATTTTATACACCTGTATCCATTGTATATAAGACCCTTCTCTTACATACTGTATAGTGTATGCAGCAGTTAGCATAAACTCCATGCTCAGTGTACCCTCTGATAGAATCCCAAACATTGCCTCATAATACTGATTAGGTTTACATTTAACAGATTTTGCATGGAATTCTATAAAATATTCTTTTTACAGGAGAGGAAAAAGACTACCAGAAACAACTAAAGCAGATGCTTAAAGACTTGGCCAGAGAGAAGGAGAAGAACACTGAAAAGGAAATACCCAAAATGATCCAGGTAACAGAGCCTTTGTTTGGTTGTTTTTCATGGCTGTGTTATTGGTAGAGAGTTTAAGGCAGGCCATAGTTTATGCAATTTCCTTTCCTTCAATTATGGGTGGAAGGAAAGAAAACCGCTTGATTTCCCCATCAACACAGTCAGTGTTGGTGGGGCGTCCCTCCCACAGCGCTGCTGTGTTCTGCCAGTGGACAGCCTTCCCTCTGCCAGCGGCACTAATTGTTTGGGAAAAACCTGATATGCTGATGTACACAAGTTGATCAATAGATCGACTTGTTGTATAACCAAGGTTCCTATACATAGATTGATGTTCGACCGATTCCCTGCCTAGTCTGTTGTAGCCTTGTCATGATCAAATTATACCACTATTGTTCTTATGTTTCATCATGGTGCACTGCATATCATTATTATGCTCATGCACTTTGTACACCACTATTAAAACCTTCCATTTTATTTTTTTTTACCAATGTAATTATATATAAAATGTTCGGATAGAGAAAATGTTCACGGTTTCCACTTTTTCCTGCCCATTATTCATATTTATTTAAAGCTGTATTGTATTAGTTTATTTAGAGCATTTTTTTCTTTTTTTTGGCTACAGCAACAAACACATTTGTTACCTTTAATACCATGTCCTGCAGGCTGCAGCTTCATGTGAAATCCTTCCTCCATTGCACCGAATACTGTCCAGAACATCATCTTGTAGTGCTGCAGGAACAGCAGTGATGTACATTTCCCTTCCATCTGCACCTTGGTGTGAAGGCTAGTTATAGGTTGGGGTGGTTGCCATTTTTTGTACAGTTGTTTGAATTGGGTGCAAGGACACATTGGATGCCTACGCTGCCATTGTGTTATTGCTGGCCTCCATGTGTGTTCCTGTGCCTTTAAGAAGGGGTGGGCTCCCTCCAGACATACCTTCCCTCAACCTATCCATTATTATATGTGCTCCTACTACGGAAGCTCTGAAAATTGTAGAGCTAAGACACAGTATATGCAGAAGTCCCTTAACGTGGGCACTGTGCCTTACACATATATTTGCAAGTGTGTGAAAACAAAACCTTCTGTTTTTAACGTAAACTGTTAGGCAGGGCAATTTGGTTGTTTTGCAGGTTGGCTGGTAAGTGTGCTGGAAAATCCTTTGTTTTCAAAGAGAACATGGCCCTGGAAAGAGCCTCTTTTCAGTGGGTCCTTAAATGCAAGGACATCCTTTCCTGGAATAGTAAGCCCCTTGTTAAGGCAAGAGATGACTGGATCCACAGCTGGAACACACCACCTGGTGACAATCTCCTTGTTAAACTGGTATCATGCCAACAAGCATTTGGGAGGCAAAAAACTATCATGGTGCTTCCAATCTTCACATAGAAACAACTCAAAAAGGGGGTGTGAAAAGGAAGGTTTTGGAAGCTTAGGGTCCTGTGAGATCCAAGGCCAGATACAGAACTCCAGAAGTGTGGTGTGGCGCACTGCATCAGTAAGGCATGAAATGGTCTCTTTCAATTTTGGAGTAACAGAACATTGTTCTTTGGGGGTAAAGCACATCAGTCAACAACATGTGCAATTCAGTAACAGTCAGCTTACAGTTGAAAATTCTTAAGCGGCCAATAGCGCAGGCACACCAGGTACCAAGCCCACAGAGGAAAATGCAATCTGTACACACACACATTGTTACATTGTATTTACTCAATGATGTTTATGGACTATCTCTCATTTTTGCACAGGAGCAGCTGCATTTTGACAGTCACTCCTGCTATGTGATACAAAGCAATTCCTGATTGTCATTTCAACAGCCGGTAATAGCTGCAAGGGGGAGGGGAGGAGAGCTGAGCATAGCTGACACATCCTAGAATTGAGCCTCTCTGTGACCAGGACTGCTCTTGTGTTATTAAGTCATAAAGGTATGGGAAATCTGTTTCAAAGAAATCCCCACGCCTATCAGGACTAGCAGTAACTTAATTTGCAGTGAAGCTGAATAGGTTCAACTTTTATGATATAAATTGGTATGTATCAGGTAAATTAGACAATGGAAGCTTCTATCCAATTTTTCTTTGTAACAATTCTTTGTTTTATTTTTAAAGCGATTAGATTAAATCAAATTTGACCTTTTTTCAGAGAGAATTTATCCAATTCTGCAAAACTTTATATAGTCTGTTTCATGAAGACCCGGAGGAGAATGACCTGTACCAAGCCATTGCCACAGTAACAACACTGTTACTTCAGATTGGAGAGGTTGGGCAGCGAAGCATTAGTATAAGTTCAGGAAGTGCCTCCGATGAATTTATTGATTCAGAGAACGGTGCCTGCTCTTCAGATCAAGACTGTGTTTTCTCTGAGACTGCTAGCACTCCAACACATCCTACTCCATCCCTGCCACTAAGTGAAGCAGACTGGGTGGTGTCCTTTGAACACATACTGGCATCTCTCCTGACAGAGCAATCACTGGTGAACTTTTTTGAGAAGCCATTGGAACTGAAACCAAAGTTAGAAAGTGCAAAGATCAATCCATACAGCCTCAGAATTAATGGGACAAGCCAGCAGCCCTCCATGTTATGCTGAACAAAGAGCTATGCCTGTCTCTTATATTTATAAGGCTCTGAGAAGCTAGCATGATGGAAACTTTTGTGCTCTCTCTTTCAAGTATTTATGTAGTGTGTTTGTTCTTCTCACCAATATGATTCAGCAATATCTGACACAATTGCTGCCTAAAGGAGTTGTCTTGAAAAGCAACAGTCAATTTCAGTTTCCATTTTTCCTGTGTAGCAGTATCCTGACGCCTTTGGTATGTCAAGAAGAGGGTCTGTCCACATGAAAAAGACAGAGATTACTAGATCTGGCTTGAAATATGTGGAAGATTCCTTGAACTCCTCAGTCATGTAAGCCATATCAATGTCAGCCAGTATGGTGAGAGTGTCATTTTTTAAAGGTTTATTGTATTTGCTTCATATGTAGTAAGCAATCCGCTCCAATACTCTGGAACACTGTATTTTATATTGAAAATAGGCACATAACACAGATGTGGCAATGTGACATTCTGTATTGTTGGGTTACCAAAGCACACTGGACGTTTTTTCAGTCTTGTACTGTTCGTAAGTACTTCTTTCTCCTGATGCATCTCTTCTATGAAGCCTTCTGTAGGTTCTCTGCTGCCCCTGCTACTTCCAGGCAACAAGCTGTCCCATTTCAAGGAGTATCTGGCATGCCAAACATTCAGGGGTATAGCTGGGGGTTATGTCCAATGTTCTTTGTTTTGTATATGTGAGTTTTGATCTTATTTGTGTTTGCACTAATAATAATGTTTCAATGCTGGAAATTGAAACTTTTATTCTATTTGATTTGCATTGCAATACATGTTAAAAAACAATGTCACGTTGACTTATCTTGTGCTTTTTGTGTTTGTCTGTGAGAATCTGCACTTTTCAATAAACATGTTTTTATTATGCTTTGTGTGCTATGAAAAGTATTGTTTTACTAAAACTATGTATATTGACAACGAGAAAGCATCCAGCAGCTTTCTGGAAACCGTCACAGAGACGAACCCAGTGTTCAAAGGTCACTTCCAGGCTATCCCTGCAGTATCCAGCCTAGTGGAGTCCAGACACACAATTCAAGGGCCAGAAATGAAGGAAGGCCAGGTCAAAGACAACTGCACAGGATAGCTGAAATCAGAGACAATGTTCTAGTAGCAGTGTTGAGAAGAGTCTTGAATGAAAGCAAAAAATGTGTGTGTGTGTGTGTGTGTGTGTGTGTGTGTATACATACTGTGGCATATTATGCCATATAGGTGCTATACTAGACTGATTCTTCTGTGTGGTGTTTTGGGTGTCCAGACTTTTTTTTTTTTTTTTATTTTTTTTTTTTACTTTCATGGAAACATTTCCACATTTACTCCTCCTGTTTGGGATGACATGTTTTTCACCTAGTGGTGTTATTCTTGGTGTTCTCACCATCATTCCTCCTCTGCAACTATTTATATAGCTGAGTCCTCTGGTTCCTTCTATCTGGTAGTGGAGTATTGATTTATAGTACATACATTTTTATGTATTCCTGACTTTGTGCACTGTCAGTGTTTTCTGTGGATTTATGGACCTGTGTGGGATGCTATTTTCACTCCTATAATTGTTTACTTTTGGCACATGTGAAGTGTTTGGTCTTGATTAGTATTTGTGTGGACATTTGGTCTATTTTTTGGTCATTTACTGCTTTGTTATCTTAGCGTATCACTTGTTTTAATATTTTTTCATGGTACTTATTATGGAAGGTCCTTTGCTGCCTGGTGTTTGCCATGTGCTATGGCAGCCATCTTGTTTCACTTTTTCTGCAATTTGTCATCTTTATGTAGGAGCTATTTTTTTTGATTTCAGTTAGGATTTTGCATACTTTGCTTTTTTGATGAATTATTGTGTTTTTATTTCTTTTGTGGTTTTTATTTTTACCTTTTCCTTGTATGTGTCTTTTAACCCGTGCATTGGGTGTTGTTGGGTGGGACTTTGGGTTTATTAGTCTGTTCATTTTCCATGTTGTAGTGTCTTGAGAAAGATGGACTGAGCTTCATCGAAACATTGACAGTAAAAAACACTGCTGTTTATGATGTTCCTCCTCTGCAAGACCTCTGAGTGCCTCTAAACCAGTTTGAGAGCGAGAGAGAGAGAGAGAGACACACATCGAGTGCTGTGGCTGCCTTTGGAAATGTGTGTATATACATACAGGTATGTATAGTGTATATATACATACATATAGTGCTCAGCATAAATGAGTACACCCCAACAGATTTGTCAGAAATTTGTGAATAATAAAAAATGAAGTCTTGCTATGGTAATTTATAAACTATTACTGCCAATCTGAGTGAATGTTAGCAGATTGATTGCACCATACACACATACCCATAAAAATATGAAATACTTAATAAATACAAAACTAGTGCAGTGATCCACTGAACAAACAAATGTGTATATACAAAGCTTCCAAAATAATACAACTCTTCCAAAATGAAACCCAATGTCCATGTAACATCCGTGATATTTTTCTCTTTCAAATGATGAGAACAGATCAGCTGCTTCTTGATTCACCTCTGGTGTATTAGCAAAACAACCACTCATGCACCTTCAGCACTTGTGCTCTCACCTTGTAAATATGACCAAACCGTTAAGTGAGCTGATATACAGCCTGTGTCCCTTATATGGACTGTGGGTGGATGGGATTGTATCCTAAAGGTTCTGGATTCCCCTCAATTCTCTAGTGGTCCTCCATCGGTTCAGATGCTATAAGAAATAATCAGAACATAGTGCCTTATCTTTATTAAAAACATTTATTTAAACATTGTATTGCACTCACAAATATATGATGCGCCACTGGAATTAATTCCCCTTGATGAAGTCACATGACCCGCTGGCACAACGCGTAGGGGAGGGGCTCTGACGTCCTGACACTCATGTACACACACATATATATGTATGTGTGTGTGTAGGCATGAGGTTCTGCTGACATATGCTGGAGATTAATGTGAGTGCGCAATTTTATATTTTGTCCCATTTGGTTTAATAAACATATTGCACTATGGGAGGATGTGTTTTATGTTTTTAATGAGAGATTGGCGCCTTACCCTGTCCTATCTTGAGAGGAGCCACTACCAGATGCTGACCCCCTGTGAGGGAGAGGTGTTTGCGGTGAGAGCAGACCAGTGGAGAGGCTGCATACTTGAAGGATGTGAGGGTGTGATCCCACAAAACGCTTTGACCCCTACGGGTCGTATTTTGGAGGTGAGAGGCTAATCCAGCCGGTGATCGGATTGTTTTGTGTCAGCAGCTACCTACTGTCACATATTATCAGCACGAATGTCATTTTGTATTGGATAAAGTGTTATTATCCACATCTTATTAGACTATCTGAGCACTGATCAGATGTTGTAGTTTGATCTTACAGTTGCAAGAAAAAGTATGTGAACCCCTTGGGATTACGTGGAGTTTTGCATGAATTGGGCATAAAATGTGCTCTGAACGTCATGTAAGTCACAACAATAGAAGAACACAGTCTGCTGAACATAATACTGCACAAACATTAGATGTTGCCATGGTTTAATTGCACATAACATGTAAACATTCACAGTGCAGGGAGGAAAAAGTATGTGAACCTTTGGCCTTAATAACTGGTTGACCCTCCTTTGGCAGCAATAACCTCAACCAAATGTTTCCTGTAGTTGCAGATCAGACCTGCACAACGATCTGGAGTAATTTTGGACCACTCATCTTCACAAAACTATTTCAGTGTAGCAATATTCTTGGGATGTCTGGTGTGACTCGCTCTCTTAAGGTCATGCCACAGCATTTCAATCGGGTTGAGGTCAGGACTCTGACTGGGCCACTCCAGAAGGCGTATTCTGTGCTGTTGCAGCCATTGTTTTGTTGAATTACTTGTATGTTTTGGGTCATTGTTCTGTTGCATCACCCATCTTCTGCGGAGCTTCAGTTGGCAGACAGATGGTTGTACGTTTTCCTGCAAAATGTCTTGATAAACTCTGGAATTCATTTTCCAATCAATGACAACAATCCGTCCAGGCCCTGAGGCAGCAAAGCAGCCCCAAACCATGATGCCCCCTCCGCCATGTTTTACAGTGGGGATGAGGTTTTGATGTTGGTGTGCTGTGCCTTTTTTTCTCCACACATAGTGTTGTGTGTGTTCTTCCCAAACAACTCAATCTTGGTTTCATCTGTCCACAGTATATTTTGCCAGTAGTGCTCTGGAACATCCAGGTGCTCTTTTGCAAACTTCAAACGTGCTGCAATATTCTTTTTGGACAGCAATGGCTCCTCCCATGTACTCCTTGTTTAATGGTTTCCTTATTGTAGATGTGTCAACAAAAATGTTAGCATGTGCCAGAGATTTCTGTAGGTCTTTAGCTGACACTCTGGGATTCTTCTTTACCTCGTGCAGCATTCTGCGCTGTGCTCTTGCAGTCATTTTTACAGGACGACCACGCCTAGGGAGAGTAGCAACAGTGCTAAACTTCCTCCATGTGTAGACAGTCTGTCTTACTGTGGACACATGAACATCAAGGCTTTTGGAGATACTTTTGTAACCGTTTCCAGCTTCATGCAAGTCAACAATTCTTGATCGTAGGTCTTCTGAGAGAGCTCTTTTCTGCGAGGCATGGTTCACATCAGACAGTGCTTCTTGAAACCAGTAAACCCAAAACAGGTGTGTGTGTTTCTTAAGGGCAGGACAGCTGTCAGCAACACATCAAATATCATCACACTGATTGGAGTCAAGGTTGGCTCACTCCTGGCTCCAATTAGCTCTGGGAGAAATCATTAAGCTAGGGCCTCACATACTTTTTCCTCCCTGCACTGTGAATGTTTACATGTTATGTGCAATTAAACCATAGCAACATCTAATGTTTGTGTAGTATTATGTTCAGCAGACTGTGTTCTTCTATTGTTGTAACTTAGATGACGTTCAGAGCACATTTTGCCCAATTCATGCAAAACTCCACGTAATCCTAAGGGGTTCACATACTTTTTCTTGCAACTGTATATGTGTGTTGTTGCATGGCTTTTGCACAT